ATCCAAAATAAAAGTTTTTGTTTATGTAATATATGTGTGTGTACTGTGTATATTTATTATGTATATATAAATACTCACACATACAGTATATATTTTGAAAATATTATATGTATTTACATGTATATATTTATATTCATATAATTTATATTATATATAAATATATTTAATATGTAAACATAACATATTTTCTGAAATATATACACGCATGTGTGTGTATTTATAGATGCATAATATACACAGTACACACACATATATTATATAAACAAAAACTTTTATCTGGGATGCGATTAATCATGATTAATCGTTTGACAGCACTCATTTAAACTATTAAAATTGTTATATTTTGCTTATTTTATTTTAGAAAATGATGCTTATCTTTGTAGCACCCTGTAAAACATAAATTTGATGTTAAAATTAAAAATGTAAATTAAAATATAATTTAAATAATTATTAATAACTAAAATTAAAAAATAAAAATAATTATGTCTTCACATTACCATATTAAAAGAATAAGATTTGTTTTGCATAAGATAATGAGAATTCTAGAGAAACATGCTTAATTAATTATTATGAAAATTGTCATAATGCAAAGAATCTTAACGGTACAAAAATATGCTTCTTTTTCTTTATGCAAAATATATTTTCTTTCTTAAATCAATTGATGTTTGGGATAAAACATGACCTGAACATGTTCTTGAGAGACTTTTTAGTCATACGTTTCATTTCAAATGCTGATATTTTGTACAACTATTTAAAGTGCTCATTTTATCCATGTGATGCGAACGCCAGAAAACAGGCCTTCTGTTATTTTTAAAAAGATTATACACAGATATTAAAGCATCTTTCAATCTCTGTGTTGCTCTGAGCAAAATTTCTGATTTATGGCCGTTCTTTAGATTCAGTTTCTGAACTATTATAATAACTTATAATATATTATTATAATAATAACTTATTAAACACGTCCAGGATGAAACCGGCAGAAATGTTGGAGTTGAAAGAAAATCTGTTTGTGGATGTTGTGGACGGTTTCCACCAAACTGCAGTTTTACTGTCTTTTGCAATGTGTTCGGAAGATTTTACAGCCAGTAAAACAGTCAAAGCGGCTAAAACTTCTCTGCAAGACACACACCGACTTTCTATCAGATGCCTTTTGACTCCGTAGTTTGTGAAACGTTTCAAACTGCTCACCTACAGCTTCTTGAACGCGGTCAGAAGTCTTTATTTCATATCTTTTCTCTCAAAATGTGCTTTTAAAAACTCAATTCTGAGCAGGATGTGGAATGAAAGCTTTAACGAGCTCCGGCTCTCGTTAGAGTGAATGTGACGGGTGGAGCGGAGAGGAAACCTGAGAGAGCGAGCATTAGACACAAACACACAGAGAGACAGGAACTATGAGAGAGAGAGATGACAAGCTTCTCTTTACTTCCTCTAAATGACAAGAGTTCTTCACACTAGGGTGCCGAGATATATAAACATTGATACATAAAAATATATTTCAGTGTTTTTCAGTCTTTTCATCGCAAATCTTAATACATACACTACCGCTCAAAAGTTTGGGATCAGTAAGACTTGTAATGTTTTTTAAAGAAGCCTCTTCTGCTCATCAAGGTTGCATTTATTTGATCAAAAATACAGAAAAAAACAGTAATCTTGCAAAATATTATTACAATATAAAATAATGGTTTCTATTTTAATATCCTTTAAAATATAATTTATTTCTGTGATGCGCAGCTGTATTTTCAGCATCATTACTGCAGTCTTCAGT